GCTGCTCTGACCGCGCTCGGCTCCAGGCGTGAGGCGACATGGCCTCCAGGTGCCGCCTTCCCCTGGCCCCTCCGAAACCAGGGGCAGCGAGGCCTGGCTGAGCGCCGGGGTGGAGGGCAGGTGAAGGACGGTGGGCCCTGCATGGTGCTGGTGACTGGGGTGGTGGGCAGGTGAAGGACGTGGGCCCTGCATGGCGCTGGTGGCACCATACCCTGCTCCTCCGGCAGCCTCACCAGGATGGCCACCCCAGGGGGATCCCCTGCCTCGTCAGCCTCACAGGAGTATGGATGGAGGCCTCTCTCTGTGTTTTCACAACATGCATCTGTCCTGCAGCTTCCACTCAGACCGCAAAGCCTCAGGAGGAAGCACCTTCCTCCAACAAGACCTGAGCTGGTTCTTGGTGGCAGGAGCACGTCCAGGATCCCTGAGGGTCTGGAGCTTTCTTCAGAGGTTGTTGCAGCAGGTGCTGAGTCCAGCAGCTGCAAGGCAAGCCTCCTCCCGAGTGCCCACCTGTGTTAAAGCTGTGTGGTCTCAGAGGGGAGGACAGGCTGGCAATGCCTGCTGCTGCCTGCAGGAATTCCTGCCTCTGGATCCGTTTGGAGCAGGGATGGGAGTCGGGGTGCCGGATGTAGCCCCTTCTCCCTGTTGAATACCACCCAGCCCCACTGTGTGGGTGGCCCGAGGTGTCTCCAGCACCTGGCCTGCTGTATGCAGTGTACACGGCAGAGCAGATCTGGTTCCTAACTTTTCTACCACCTCCACGATCTGCGAACTCTCCAAAACTGGAAAGTTCCTCGCTGTACTGAGAAGAATCAAAACTACCAAATTTTGCCTGATGAAATACATTAATGATCAGTATGAGGCAGGGTCCTTGCTCTGGCAAAACTCAGGAGTGGAGCCAGCAGAGGTTTTGCCCAGGACAGCGGCAGACTCAGGCCTAGCTGGCTATAAACGTGGTTTCCCAACTGCCCTGTGAAAACTGAGAGGGATACCGCTTGCTGTGGTTACTGATGAACAAATGCAGCTGTGCAGCTGCTAAACGGGCTTTCAAACTACCACGTGCGCGTCCCATGGACTCCGCTTCTGGCCTCCACAGGCAGGAGAGTGCTCTCCTAACCGCGGTGTTGGGACCAGTGGCTCCTTTCTAAGTGAGGACTCTCATCCTCTTCTCTCTCCTCTCCTCCCAGATCTTCCAGACAGGTAAATATCATGCAATGGAGCAGGGGATTGGTTTTCCTCATGGTGTTTCTAGTTCTTGCAAAGAAATATTTAATTTTCTGGTTCTACACTGAGGGATAAGGTTCGGATAAGGGAAAGACACGGAGGGACAGAAAGAGGCAGAAGGTTTTTTAGCTCACAAGGTGTCCTGTCGATGCGGCACAGGATGGTCCAGTGAGACAACCGAGTCATGGCCGCACTGGGTGCCAGTGGCCTGGAGTCACCCGTGGCCCTGTGCTGTTGGGATGTGGCGTGGCAGCAGGTGGCTGTGCACTGCTTTGTAGGCAGCGAGCTCCCATGTGCCCTCCCTGCCCCATCTGTCCTTGGGGGACGTGGCACTGGGGCCTCTCAAATTCCCACCCCAGCACTGCCGGTGTGACAACCCCACAAGGACAGGGCGGGCAGGGCCTGGCTGCACGTGCCCACGCCATCTTTCTTTCTTGAGCAGCCCCACCTTCCTCCCAGATGTGCCTCAGCACTTACTCCCAGCCCACCCACAAGCATGCAGGGTGGCACTGTATGTGACTGAGCCCCCACCTGAAATGAAGTCTGGAGCAGGAAGGGTTGTGCAGCCCGTGTCCCGCAGATGCGATACCTCAAGGGCTATTTCAGTCACAAGGCAGTATCCTGTTGTTTTTCCCTAAGCTGCCACAAATCAGTTAAAAACTACAGCCTTGATGCTGTAGCATGGGGGACTACCGCATTTGTCCACAGCTGGACCAAACTGCGTCCTTGCATTCAGCAAGTGCCACCTCCAAAGTGACATAGCTGCGCTTGCCTGACTGAGTGGCTTTGACTTGGTCCACCCTCTTTCCACCTCCTTGCCAAATCTCTTCCAAAGTAGTGAAAGAACAGAGGGGCCTCATCAGGAGGCTGGTAGGGACATCTCCAGTGACATGACCCAACATCTCACACGCTGGAGAAGATGCCTGGGAGGTCTATAAGGTGATGTGAGGCCCTATTCAGTCATGGGTGCCGTGTTGTGAGGTAAGGTGATTACACTCATCGATGGCATACATATCAAAGCACCCAGGGCAAGAACAAACAAACATCTTTGGCACTGCACTCAGCTTCCATTAGCCAAAAGGCAGGTGTGTGTGTGTGTGGGTATAGTTTTCCAGCCATTTCCCTGAACTCAGCCCTGATGTTGCAAGAACTGCATAGCTGTGAAAACACAGCCTCGCCTTGATTTATGCTGCTTGTGGGTAAGATGACTAAGAAGAAGGGGGGAAAAAAAAAAAAAAGAACAGGAACAGAAATCCCAGTGGGAGCGTGATGCAGCGTGATGCGGGTGTGTACCGATTTGGTGGGACAATCAGGTTGGGGAAAATGCAGCCAGAGCTTTAGGCAGTAGGAAGAGGAGACCACAAACCACATGATGCGTATCATGATGTTCCACCTAAGATACAAAAGTATGCCACAAGCTTTTATGAAGACAACTCTTTGGTAACAGCAAGGGAAATTAATTCTTTTGTGTAATTGTAACATTTTTTTCTCCTTCAGATGAGTTCCATATGTCCTCGTGATTTTTTTCCTTTAAACACAGCAGTTTAGAACGAATCTTAAGTAACGTTTAGCCTGCTTCTAAAGTAAATATTTACAAAAACATTAAATAATGGTTCTGATCTTTGGCAAATGTATATTGCTGCCTACCTGCTACTGTTTTGTGCCTATCTGGAGTAATAGAGAAGACTTGTAATAAACCCCAAGGCTGTAAAAGCAGTATAACAATGTGATTAGCATTAATCAGATGGGAAATACTGACTATTAAAAACTGTGAAAAGATAAGAGGGATAAACTGCAAAAGGAAGGTTACGTTATTTTGTTTTAACAAATTTCAAGAAATGTAATTGGAGAATAGGCTTTTAATCTTACAAAAGCAGTAGAGTTTTTTGGAAGCATAATAGTGTTAGCTGATATTTATGTCATGTATCATCTTCAAAGAGCTTTACTACATAAATATTAATCATTTCACCAACCACTTGAAGGCAACCACTTCAGGGGTGCGGTGAGGCAACAACTTAGCAAGTAAGTTGTACTAAGACAGGAAGTGAAGACAGCCAGATTCAATAAGGAGTTGGTGTGGGTACAAAAAATATTTGTGGAGGCTTTAACAATATCTTTAATCAGGCAAAACAAAACTCCATGGCATAGAGGGCAGATTTCTTTGTTAATGAGAAACTGGCATTGGAACTTGTAATTACAGTGTGTTTCCAACAGGTAAAGAAGATTATTATATCTGAGAGGAAACAGCTTGTGAGGGATCAGTATTTTCATGCAGGGAAGCGTAACACTTCTTTTATGAGAACATGTTCCTTACCAGGCTCACTACCCTTTTGTCTCCTCCTGTCACCTTCCCCCCCAGGAAAAATACCGTATTGTTGGCCTGTGTCATATCAGTATTTCTCTGTCTCTGCCATGGTGTACTTGTGAAGAATTTCAAAGCACCCAGTGGATTTCATTCTCTTCATTTCTTACACCTTTCCTGTAACGACGAACTCTGGCTGACCCACTGGCTATCCCAAAAGCTGTCCTCTGTCTAGAAGTTAGAACCCAGCTTTTCCTTTTTCCACAAATGAAGCCAAAGCTGTCTTCTGCTCCTGTCAGAGATGGCAGATGAGATTCAATCATTTTGTACGCTACAGATTATAGAATAATTTAGGTTGGAAGGGACTTCATGAGGTCTGTGGTCCAGCCGCCCTCACATTGAGCAGGATTGACTTCAATGTCAGATCAGGTTCCTCAGGTCCAATTAAGGATCCTAATTAGATTTCTCTGCTCTCTTATGCACAGATGGCATTATATGTAGCTGTCCTGGACTCAAAAAGTAGTAAGCCTAAAGCAGTCGCACTGCTACCTATCATGCCACGACTTGTGATTTGCCATGACACCTGTGCGGTGATGTGTTTAGCAAATGCAGGTTTTCCTGCAGAAGATTGATTTTGATGTTAGCAGTTGTATTCACATATAACATCATTGTTCAGTCGTGCAATTCATGATTTGAAACATGCAGTTGTCAGAGGAGCAAGTGTCTACTATTTAAGGCTGTCACACTGAAACTGCTGAATTACAACTGTTCTAACGTTTCACATCTTTTTCCCTGTGTATTGCAACCAATAGGATGTAGTCACTGTAGTCAAGTCTTATTATTTCCTTGCCTGTTTGTTCTCCTGTGTCCAATTCAGTGTCTTTCACCTCAGCATTCCAGAAACAACCAATCTAGTTCTTGAAGAAAATCCCCTCTCAATCCTAACATCCTCCCTTCTAAGGACTAGGTATGAATTTTGCAGACCAACCAGCATTAATAGCTTGTATTACATTTTGCAAAGTCTCACCTTGTGCTGTGGCCTCTGCAATGACAGACCACATCCTGCCTGAGACTAGGCGTGTAAATACGCTGAAGAAAACCTTTCCCAGTGTCAGACTCTGGTATGCATTCTCCCTCTGTATAAAGTTTAGTCTGCGTTTGTGTATGTATATAATATTACATATGCACACACCTAGAAAGGTGTATATATCTATGTGTGTGTGTGTTTATATATATTAGTGTGTTTATATATACATATATATACACACACACAAAATGATACGATAGCTGAATGCTATTAACACTCCATTATATGCTTTTCAGCTCTTTTTGCCATCCTCTCAAAGATATTCTGGATTTGAGCCCATGGAGGCAGAAGCCTGTCCTTCTCTGCTGTCCTTCTACTACAAGTACAGTGGATCCTGTCATTTTGAGGTCTTCTGTCTGCAACTTAATCAAAACGTTACTGTTCCATTTCTAAAATTAAATCAGAGATGGTGAAAAAAAGGTCTGAAAGCAACTCATCCACCTGAACAAGAGTAGTCTTCCTGCTGCATAGCAAAGGCACTAGCTGTTTCTTTAGTACAATAGATTATCTCCTTGAAGACTAATAAGCAA